AAACACTTGGAAAAACATTCGTTTTGACATTTGATGTACTTCCCTTTGACAACCGTATTATGTACCTCATGTACTGCGAAATGAACACATTTGACATTTAAGATGACGTTACGTATTTTCGATTCCCGTGTTTGGCACAGACCAATGTAATGCTATCTCTTTTGGCTTACGACGACACGTAGTAGTTAAACAAAGACAATAACATGTTTATGTTTTCAATGTCGAAATGCATCATATACATAAAACGTCTGATTTATATATGTCAACATAACATGTCCTTTGGTTTCCTTAGTCTAAGATTAAAACAGTCTTCTTAAACGCGTCACTATGTTCCTGAACAGAATAACGTCACTTCGTTTTTATATTCCTATACTATAATCTGTCAATTATAATTTCATAAAACATATCACAAAGGCGCTCTTTTTAGTTCTGATTCAAAATTCTATTGCCTTTAGTACTCGCTACAGAATTGAAAACTGTACTGAAAACTATAATGAGTTTCATAAAAGATTGTCGTATTTTTGCTAATTAAAATATCAAATTTGACGGTACTCAAGCGCTCTACTGCCTCTGATTGGTTAAATTGGCCAAAAACCAGTTACACGCGCGCGATTTTAAGCAACGACGCAAGCGCGCGATTGCATCGATACAAACGCGCGATTGCATCGATACAATCACCTAATCGCCAGAGGTCCCAGGTTCGATTCCCGGACCGGGAGAAATATTTGTATGGCCCACATTTATTTCTCTCGTGAGTTTGGTTGTAATTTGTGGTTGTCTATGTGTCTGTCCATGGCACCAGCGACATAGGATTTCCCTAGTGCGGGGCTGTGTTGAGTGTGTGCGTTATCATTATTATTAAATATAGTTATGTTTCATTATTGTATTTCCGTCTTAGAGCATATAGCACGGGAAGCGCTATTAGTAATGGAAGTAATAATTCAACATTGATATCGAGTTCTTAGCTTTTCGCGATTGTTACACATAGGAAATGAAACTAACCATGGTCACGGTGGACATTGAGTCAACCGTGACCATGGGACCTGTAAAGGGCCCGAAACGTCGGTTTGTTTGAAAAAACAAATATACGCGATTTAAATCCGGAAAAATAGTTTCATTTCCTATGTGTAACAATCGCGAAAACCTAAGAACTCGTTATTTACTGGTAGTTTCATTTACTAAATTAAATATTGAGTTATCTCACTATGGTCTAACATAAACAAAAGTCGATAGCACGATCTTATTTTTACAAACACAGATAACACACGTTCATGTCATATTCGATAATATTCGATTGTAATGAATATAATAATAATAATTTATTTCGGACTATAAATCCATAGTGTTAGTAACAAAATAACTTAAAAATTTGTGTTAGTAACAACTGGGAAAGTACATTTTAATATTTATTAGAGATTAATGAGATTCGACGTGACAGTGTCGATGATTTCAACACATTATTTGAGTAAAGTATCATTCCGTGTGTAACTTCGTGTGTGAACGTGACTTACTGATCTAAACAATTTAGTCATATTTAAAATTTTATTTCATTAACACATGGATGTGGAATGAAATAAAATTATTTATTAGTGTGAGGTGGATATCTCGGAATGGTTATAGTTAGAAGACGAGCCCGTTTTAAATAAGGATATTTTTTAACTTTTGTTAGAATTAATAAGTATTACCCCATACACGAATAAGCATGTTTCATTTGAGAGCAGAAATTTTAGAAAAGGATCCAGTAAAACGCATTCCTATTTAAGTACTACTTAAAATATATACTAATACATACTACTTAAAATAATATTAAAAACAAATAACGTAAAAATAAATTTATTGAAAGTCCCTAAATTGTAGCAAAATCTGCTTTTTGAACGATTAGAAGTGTTAATCAATTCACAAGTAATTTTTATTGTACCGCGGTATTGTTTTACTTGTAATTTGACAAAGAGGATTGCCTATTGACTTACCAATAAATGGATAAAAATATATATACAATCTAAAGTGTAATCCAAAACCGCGAAATAATGTCCGGAGTTTTTTCCCAGTTAGCGGCTTTTCGCGGTCAGCGTCGAAGCTAATAACTAGAATGTCCGGAGTTAACCTATACAATAGTAGTAACATATATAGAAATATAAAAAAAACTAAAACATTTTATTTAAATTGTAAGGATATTGTAGTACTGCTTAATTTTGCTTACCATAATTTAAAGGCCCAAAAATTCTCCAGTTCCAGCTTCTACTGGAAACATAACAAAATGCACCATATTTAGCTTCTAGTGAAAACTACTTAAACTCAAGAGTAAAGGAGTAGGCTTTACTGTCAATACTAATTAATTTATATATAGTATTATGTTGAGTTTTATTTATTTTGGGGGTTGATGTTGCTCGCTTCCGTAGGTTTACCCTCGAGACCGTACAAGTGACCCCAGGTGGTAGGCTTCGGCCGTGGCGAGTCACCGTCCTCCCGACGCAGTCGAGTCGCCAAATGGTTTTTAAGCGTGTTCCAACTCGTGTTCGGGAGTTACCATTAGGAGGTCGGGTCTGAACAGTCGCATTGCGTCTGACGACGAGTTGTAGCCGCTTGTACTGCCACACTGAGCACTCGGTTCTGGAGGCTAGCGGGATCCGAAGCACGGTGCACCACTGGCTGACCGTGGGAATTTGGTGGCCTAAGTAGCGGGAAACCCAACGAAAAATCCCCGAGTGCTCCACCTTGCCGGTTGGTGAACGGGAGGGAGGACCAGGTGGCCATCTCCAGGGGGGTTCGGGCATGCCTGCGGTCTCCAAACCGATTGTACTATCGTGTGGCAGTGTGAGCTTGCTGCTTAGTTGAACATGACGCAGTGCCTCGTTCTACTGCTTCCTCCTGTCTATTCACTTCTAAAAACATGAAAAGTCATAAAAAAGGAAAAACTTTACACAGCGGTTGCATGTCCTCCCACTAAAAGTGCACCTGCACAAATCTGAGTTCGGTCCACTACCACCTTGAAACCGACAAACGGCAGCTGCTGTTCCTCACAAAGACGCAGATCCAGAGTTGTTTAGTTTACCTCTCACAAAAAACAATGTTTCGCAAAATGGACCATTATGCAAAATGTGTCGATCATATAATAGCATATGTTCCCACCATAGCATTTTTTTCTGTAGTTTTAAGTGCTTTAAAACAACACTGCACACTAATATAAGCAAAAAATAGTGTCCTTATTTTGTTTAACGTCTTTCCTTTTATATTATATATTGTCCTAATGTGAATGTTGTGTACAATTATAATTGGATATCAGATTTATAATGTTATGTAGTAGTTCTAAGTATTATTTGTAGTCTGTTATCTGTTGTTGTACCATATAAAATAAAATAAAAAAATCAGATGTCCGACTGACGCAGCGTACCTCAGCTCCCGTACGCCGCGTACCCCGGGTACACTCTGGAGCATAGGTTCGTATCTCGTGCCGGAGTCTGTGTGTATGTTCGCGATGACATCTGTGTCAAGCGTCTCAAGAAGCCGCCAAGAAGTGCAAAAGCCATTTACGTAGGGCCAAGTTCGACCATGTGCGCCGCATAGGGGCCAAGCTTGCCTCTTATCCAGGAGGCAGTAAATCGTATTGGTCCCTGGCCAAAGCGATCGAATCTAACTTTTGTCGACCTACCGAACCTACCACCTACTTTACCTCAGGCTGGCAGCACTATAGCGCCTAAAGCTCTGAATAGCACAGCAACTAATATGGACAGGCGTGTCGCTTATCACCTTATAAACAAAAACTTTTGCTATAAAAATCAAATACACTAAAAATCTATCGACTTTATCTTATCCTATGCCAAATGTCAAATGAAGTGTCATAGGGATGACTAGGATAGGAAATATTGCTGTGCCCTTGCAGGGCGTCACATGTATACCTAATATTTTGTACCACCTTGTAATGAAATGTGATATGCAATAAATGAATATGAATTTGGATCACTATGTAATATTACATAATTATAAAAAGCAAACATTTTCAAGAAACATGTATTCGAATCAAAATGACATTGGTTGTTAATATAAAGGCGAGTGAGGGACTCCTCACCGTGAACATTCGATTGTAATGTAACATCCAAGATTCGTTTGCGAGCATTACATTACAAACTACCTCTCTCACCGGCGAGCATTCGCCTGTAAAGATTCGTTTTTGAGCGTTAAATTACAAACTACCTCCTCCATTCGCCTGTAATGTGACTGTGGCGTTTGTTGGGGGTTAGCTCAATAAAACAACGTGTGTTGTTTCACATACAAGTGCGATACACGCCCGCTCACGTCACTGTCTCGTATTGTCATGGCGAGAACGGCGGGCCGCAGTGTGACATACATTGTTTATTGTCTATGATACATTATGTCAATACACTACAGTGACATTCAAGATTCCCCCAGAGATATGCGAGGTAGCAAGGCGTACGTGTGCCTTTGAGTGCCTTTGTGTGCCTTCCACTCAAAGGCACTCGCTGGCACTCTAAGGCTCTCCCTGGCACCAAAAGGCACTCGATGGCACCCAAAGGCACTCGCGGGCACTTGCAGGCACTTAACTTAAGTAAAGACTTGGAAACATTTCCACTTTATCTGGTGGAGTCGCAGCCTTACAATCTGAACAGATTGTTACATTACAGGCGCTGGCTCCCGGTGAAGGAGGCTACCGAATGTTACAAGTGTTGCGCAGCGAATTCTCGGCTCACCTCCCTCGCCGCCTGTAATGCTCGCTTTTGAACGTTAATACACCAACCTAATACACCCGATAGCCTGTTAACCTCAAAGTTTATCCGGAGGTCGGTGGCTATCAAGATCTCATGTTCAGTTAAAAATTTGGCTTGGTTTCCATCTGAGCTCAGTTACAAAGAGCTAAATTACAAAATAGACCTACAGTTATTTTTTCAATATTCTTTTTATAGTAAAATTAGTTTTACTTCATTTTCACAATTAATTGTCATTTTTTTAAATTGAAGAATTGTTTTTTCTTTTAAATTTTGACAATGATAGCAGAATTGTTAGTATTTCTAATAACATTCCTCGTCGTTTACTTCGTTTATTTTCACAAATTAGCAAAAGATAAGTTTAGAAATTGCGACGTGAAGTTCGTGCCATGTTGGCCGGTATTCGGCAATGCCCGCAACAGCACAGTGATGAAGAGACACATCTTCGAAGACTTGGATGCCGTTTATAGAGCTTTCCCTGATGAGAAGTAAGTATGTTTCATTTAAAACAGGAGAGCACCGACACAGGTGGAAAAGCGAAAGTGGTATAACATAATCGAACCAAGTGGAGCTCCGTCGAGCAATATCATACATACATACATTCATCACCATCATCTTTAACCGATGTTGTCCTGCTTCTGGGCACGGATTTCCTGTAAGGACATGATTTAGGCTAGCCTAATGCTTGTTTGGAAACTCACAGGTTTTGTAAGGGTTTCACCGCGATGTTTTCCTTCACCGACCAGATCGAGGAGGCTGAATAAAAGTAAATGAAGATAGATAGATATGATGGATAAAACATTTATTGTCTTGCATCACACACACAACAATATAATAGAGTAAACTGATTAAAAGAGACACACATAAATCAAAATTAAAACGAAAAAAATCATAAAAACATAATACTAAGCTAATTATCAACAGCTTGTGTGTGTTAAAGAAAGCAAATAGGTCGTGGCTCAGTGCAAAATTTGCTCAAGAGCAAGGCACTGATTTTCAGCCACCACTTTCGAGGGTAGCGCGTTGCGGTGCATCAAACACAAAAACATTGTGAGGTGAATGTAGCGTGCATATGTTAGTATCACGTGAGAATTATGTACATTATAAAATATTTAAAAAAAAAATTAGTAACTGTAAAAAATAAAAAAATAAAAATTTGAAAAAATAGTAATACAAATTCATAATTGGTATAATTAAAATAAAATAATAATAATAATAATCAGTACTTAATATCGATGAAAGCCATTGTAACATAAATGATAATAAATGTCCATGAAGCAAGGGGACTTCATTCTAGAAGCCTCCGCTATGTAAAGCGTTTAGGAATACCCAGTTTTTGTCTATCAAAAATAAATTCCCTCAAATGTTTTTTAAACGTAAACTTAGTTTTAAGGAGTCTAAGCGGGGGCGGAATATTATTCCAACACTTCGTTGCTTGATAGCGGAAGCTTCCAGTAAAGACCACAGTGCGATGAATTTGTCCCGCCAACAGAGGTCTCACGGTTCTAATAGAAAATTTGTCATGAAAAGTGGAGAATTTTAACTTTCCATACAAGTACTCTGGTTTTTGGGACTTTATCACGCCAAACAGCATACACGTGAGATGTATATGTCTTCGCGAGTCCATATTTAACATGTTTGCATTAATTAAATTTTTATTGAATTGATATTCAATTATTTTTTGTGAAATTACTCCACTAGTTTGTTATAATTATTAATACAAAGATCGAACACTCAGAAAAAACACTCAGAAAAAAATTTCCTTCGATCCGGTCGGATTCGAACCGTTGTCTTCTTGCATACCGTGCCAGACGCTATACCAACTAAGCCACGGAACGAACCAACGGACCTCACGAATTTTTCTATGTGCTTGCGTCGTGTACTTGGTTTTTTAACGACTTTTTAGTCGTAGCGCCATCTATGTTTGCATTGTTTAAATATGGCGTGATGCGGCTGCGAGGTGGGATTTTGAAGCAAAATCGACAACAAGCATTTTGTACACGTTGAATCAGGTGTTGTGTTTTACTCAACAACGAGGACCGTAAAGTATATCTCCGTAATTAAGTTTGGAAAGAATCAGTGATTCGCAGATGGTAATACGAGCATGCTCACTCACTTAAATAATTACGTATTTTGTATAATATTTTAAGACGATAAAAGCAGTTCCTAACTTGATCTAGTACGTGACTTTCAAAACGTAATTGACCATCAAGCGTTATGCCAAGATTTTTTGCCTCTGTTACTCGAGCCACATCACTACCAGCGATCTCGAGATATGGATATCTGTCTACGATGTTGCTGATTTGCTTTTTACTACCTAAAATTTTACTATAAACTATAAACTTTAAATACAATGAACTTGGACTTCACCGGGTTTAGAATTAGCATTCCGAGCAGACCACTCAGCAGCTCTCTCAAGGTCATCGTTCATACGCGTCTGCGCTTCGCATAAATTATTAGGAATCACTGATATATACAACTGAACGTCATCTGCATAACAATGGTACCTACAATGCTTTATAACTCTAGGCAAATCAGCACTGTAAATGACGAACAGTAGTGGTCCCAGTAATGAACCTTGTGGCGCACTCCACGCTGTGCCTGAAGAAAACCATGAAAAAAAAAAGATGAAGCTAGACAGGACATATTGCAAAACTTAATAATGTCATTCATCCATCTGTTCATCTCTTTGATGACAGCTAGAGTAAAGGGGTAATGAAATGAAATGTGAAATGAAATGAAATATGAAATGAAATGTAAATGTGAATCGAAATGAAATGTGAAATGAAATGAAATCTGAAATGAAATGAAATGTGAAATGAAATGAAATGAAATGTGAAATGAAATGAAATGTGAATTGAAATAAATTGTGAATTGAAATGAATTGTGAATTGAAATAAAATGTGAATTGAAATGAAATGTGAAATGAAATGAAATATGAAAGAAAATGAAATGTGAAATGAAATGAAATGTGAAATGAAATGAAATGTGAAATGAAATTAAATGTGAAGTTAAATGCAATGTGAAATGAA